ACAATCAAAACATGATCGGGACACCATCAAAACATGACCGGGACACCAGCATCACATGACCCGGACGCCATCAAAACATGACCGGGACACCATCCGCCCACCAGCTCTGACGGTGACCCGACGGCGCCCGTCCGCCTATTAGTTTTGCAAGACCCCATAGCATGTCTATTGGGGAAAAAGAAAACCGGTATCAAGAATGATTAGTAGAAGCATGAATCCTCATCATCTTCCATCATATCCCATCAAAACACGGCATCGGTCTTTCGAGAATGCGGCACAGTATGGGACACATGCCATTCGCTTGGAATGCACCTCCAAGTAGAGAACAAATACCTCTAGCACTTCCGGTGCCCAATCATCTGGAAGATCTGGAGACCGTAGTGGGCTGGGTTGTCCGTCTCAGGTGACCCGCTTTCGGCACCGTCCGGAACACGTCCACCGGGTCCCGACCGACGCCTCAGGCACACAGGCCCAGTCCGCATCGTCCTGACGGATCTGGCGTAATCGATCTGACGGATCGATGAAGGAAAGAGAAAGGGCTCTGAACATCGAAAGCTATGAACATCGATGTGATCGAAGTCTGCCATTTGGGATCAGATCCCGAACTCTCCACTCACATCACCTTGGGTGTTTTCTTGGGGTGGAAAACATCACCTCGAAAAACCACGGGTACCGCCCTGTCTTTTGCGTGCAAAAAGGTGATCCTTGACATAGGGAACAAATAGCTTACGTTTTCCCAGGTCCTTCAGGGGGTAGTGAACCATCCTCAACCGATCTCTTGCAATTGAGCAGCAATACCAAGTCATTGCCACAAGAATTGAGCAACGGCACCACTTGAGGGGTGGATCGTGGATTCAGAAACCCAAGAAACCCTCCAAATACTCAATCCAATAACCCTCCAGATCCTCCAGATCCAAGGTCAATCTCAATGCAACTTGATTCTTCCAGGTGAGCTACCTCCGAGACGTTTTGATGGGAGGCGTCATCTCATCATCTCTCCGATGAGCTTCCATGCGGTGTGCAGTAGGGCTCTCCCCACTGATCTTTCAATGCGTCTGAGAGAGACAAAAAAAATCAACATCATCAACGAGATGCAGGTCCATAACGAGAAGCACCAGAGAAAGATGAAAGGCTTGTAGTTGATGGGTATGCCTCCGGGTCCAAATTTGCCGCCTGCGCACCCTCCTGCACCACTGTCGCTGATACTGTTACGACCTCGGCGTCCATGTACCGCGAATCACCCGACAACGGGAGCTTTCCCGAGCGAGCTTTCATGTGACTTTGGAATGGGCAGCTTGCTCTGCCAAGGACCAGGGTCCGGGGTCATCCGGTCCAAACAACCGAGTCCGTGCGGAAGGGAGTGGAAGCCATTCCAGCTCATGTTGTGTTGCATTTCAGTCACAATGAATCTTACTTCAGGTGTACATCTCACACTTCTCCAGCCATGTAAACCCCAGGGTCGATGCTTCAATCAAAAAAAACAGACTGACAAAAACATGCGGGATTTACGAGACCCCTTGTCCACATCATCTCTCCCACTAGTCCCACCTACCTGAAAACCTTGAAGTGGCATGAAGCAGATTCTTGAAGCATTCGAAGCTATTCAGCAGAGATGATTTCACAGCTAGCCAGATAGCAAGCCATATAGCAAGCTTCTGGTTCGGGTTCGGTCTTCACACGAAAGAGGGTCCCTTCGCCCTCCTCCCTTCTCCCCGGAACCGGTATTTGTCCAAACCCTGAGGTCATCTGAGGTCTATGGCCAGCAAAACCTGGGCAAAAAGGGATGAAAGGATCGGGGCGAATGTCCATGAGGAAATCTTTTGGAGTTGAGGTTTGCCTAAGGCTGTTGAAAGTAACTGGCGGTCTGGGTCAGAACATCACTCTCTTTAAGACGTCAGCCAACAAAAATCATCCTCCACTGCTCTTATGCTAATGGGATATGATATACCCAGACGCTCAACGCTCAACCTTCACCGAAGAAACTATATTTGTATGCCCACCGGACAGTTACTCATCGCACCAGGCACTTCAAGGCAACGACCTCTTCGAAGAAGGAATATAGACCCGTCTACCTATTCACACAGCCTAATAGCTTGATGGCCTCCAACCCAATAGCGATGGCCTCCAACCCAATAGTGATGGCCTCCAACCAAGTAGCGACAGCCTCCAACCCAATAGCAATGGCCAACCTAATAGCGATGGCCTCCAACCTAACAGCGATGGCCTCCAACCTAACTGCGATGGCCTCCAACCTAAGAGCGATGGCCTCCAACCTGATAGCGATGGCCTCCAGCCTAATAGCGATGGCCTCCAACCCAATATAGCGATGGCCTCCAACCCAATATAAATTGATGGCCTCCAACCTAACAGCGATGGCCTCCAACCTAATAGCGATGGCCTCCAACCTAATAGCGATGGCCTCCAACCTAATAGCGATGATGGCCTCCAACCTAATAGCGATGGCTTCCAACCCAATAGTGAAGGCCTCCAACCAAGTAGCGACGGCCTCCAACCTAATAGCAAAGGCCTCCAACCTAACAGCGATGGCCTTCAACCTAACTCCGATGGCCTCCAACCTATTAGTGATGGCCTCCAACCTAATAGCAAAAGTAACTTTTTCCCCATATAGCTCTAGGAGTTCCAACTTCTCAGTGGTGTGGCTCTGGATCGGCGTTTTGGTTTGTGCGGGTGCTGCTGCCGTGCTGAGGCTGGTGCAGATGCAAGCGCTGGCTCTGGATCGGCGTTTTGGTTTGTGGGTGCTGCTGCCGTGCTGATGCTGGTGCAGGTGCAGGTGATGGCTGTGGGTTGACGTTTTGGTTTTGCAGGCGCTTCTGCCGTGCTGATGCTGGTGCAGGTGCTGGCTTTGGATCGGCGTTTTGGTTGTGCGGGCGCTGCTGCCGGGCTGATGCTGGTGCAGGTGCAGGCGCTGGCAGTGGATTGGCGTTTTGGTTTTGTGAGCACTGTCGCCGCGCTGATGCTGGTGGAGGTGCTGGCTCTGGAGCGACGTTTCGTTTTGCGGGCGCTGCTGCCGCGCTGGTGCTGGCGCTGGATCGGCTTTGGTTTGCCAGTGCTGGCGCCGTCGTGGTGCTGGCGCAGGCGCTGGCTCTGGATCGGCGCTTCGTTTTGCGGGCGCTGCTGCCGTGCTGGTGCTTGTCCAGGGATGACATCATGTCATGCCCAGAATGACATCCTGTCATCATGTCTTGCCAGCGATGACATCATGCCATGCAGGAGATGACATCATGTCATGCCCAGGGATGACATCATGTCATGCCAGGGATGACAAACTATGGACCCGCTAGCTGGGGTCTATGCCGGTGTCATTTGGATCACAGAATGCCTCAAAGACCACATATTCAAAGTCTTGGACCGTGCAGGAACATGGCAATGAACCCGTCTATTTTCCAAGATTGAAGTCTTCGTGGACACACACCACCTGTTGGGACCAACCTCATACCGATGGCCTCCAAAGCCTCCAACCTAGTAGCGATGATGGCCTCCGGCCTAATAGCGATGGCCTCCAACCTAACAGCGAAGGCCTCCAACCAAATAGCGACAGTCTCCAACCTAATAGCAATGGCCTCCAACCTGATAGCGATGGCCTCCAACCTAACTGCGATGGCCTCCAACCTAACAGCGATGGCCTCCAACCTGATAGCGACGGCTTCCAACCTGATAGCGATGGCCTCCAACCTGATAGCGATGGCCTCCAACCTAAGAGCGATGGCCTCCAACCTGATAGCGATGGCCTCCAACCTAAGAGCGACGGCCTCCAACCTGATAGCGATGGCCTCCAACCTAATAGCGATGTCTTTTCAAGGCACTTCAATTCACCTCAACACCCCCAGCCACCGCCCAGCGACTCAACTCAGTTCAGTCTCGCCGGGCGACCGAAGGCCACATCTCAGGGTCGATCGCACATCGGGCACGGTTTCGATTCCGGTCGGATGGCGACCGGTTTTTTTGGGGAGTGGATGTTTCCCGGTCGGAGTGGATGGTTTTAGGGATCTTTGTATGCCTGAGACACGTGCTGTTGGTCAAAAAAGATCATGAAAAAAAATGAGATTGGTCAACAAGAGTAGGATGTGCTGCTGGTGGCACCATCAAGATGACACTTGAGCTATGTTGAGCTGATGTTCTGTCACGGTGGAACTTTGGCAGACTTTCCAGTGTTCACTGTGGATGCTGGTGTTCAAAGTGTTCGAATCATCGCATGCGCCGGTCTGCTCGATGTCTTGGTCTGCTCTTGTCTCACCAAAGAAGTCGGCCTGTGACTCAGTGGAAAACAGCTGGGGCGCAGCAGGTTTTTCTGCCACCCGGGGTTCGGTTCGCTGAGCCAAAGTTGGGCGCCGAACGCGCAGAGGCGGTGCGGCGAGTGGTCTCTGACCGCTGACCGCAGCTCTCTGTTTGTAACATCACTCCATCCCCACTTCTGAACTGAAAAGTCGGGCAGGCCCGGAAAATGAGAGAAATCAGCCTTCCAAAGTTCGATGTGTTGTTCAAAAGAAAGATGAGAGTTGAAGTCGAAAGGTGCTATGTCGAAGAAAATAGCACAGCATCCTGTGAAATTGAGCCTCTAATGGATAGAAATTTGACTCAAATATAAACTGTATCCGTTGGAAACCGTTGAACATACAAACTATTTGGGTGCCGCTGTCAAGTGAGCTCTAGACATAGGGTTGAATCGTTTTGATGGTTCTTTTCTACCTTGGTGTTGGCACCCTACCCAGCTTGCAGGCCCCAAGAGCCACTGGAGTGAATCTGTCAACCAGCATGCAAACTGTACACCTATAGAAGGTAGATCCGTGGCAAACCACTGTTCAATCCAAACCATGCCTTTGCGGAAGGTCGGCGGCAGGTCTACGCAGGGTCCGCATTTCAAAGTGGCAACCATCTTTGGTAAAGGAACACACACCTTGCAGCTCTATATTCATCATGTGTACAATGTACATATATATATATATAATATCCAAGTAACCATGGATGATTATGGTTAGTAAAGACCTTTCTCTAAAAAAGTGATAATGGTTTACCCATTGTTACAGGTTTGTTGGGACAGACCCAATACATATATATATATATATACGCATGTGTCCACAACCGAACTTCTTACGTACGTGGCAAACATACTTCTAACATCTCGCAGACCGACAGGTAGAAATGTTGAACTGCGTTGAACTGCTTCTCGTCTTTCGTGGCCTTTCAAACCAGTTCACCCCCAACAAAAAGCCCCAAAAGCGTCCCCCACAGCCTCCTCCAAGCGTCCCCAGCCACCAGTCCTCCGGTTTTCCTCACCTCCCCGGCGTTCGTGCCGCGGGGGTGGACCTCTTCCGAAACTGGACATGGGACTAGGTGAAACGCCCAAGTGGTGCAGGGTTAGCACCACCCTCGCTAGGCGACCTGGGGGATGTCTCTGTCCATGCCGCCCGAGGGCGGCTCGGGTCTGCAGTTCGAGGGGATGTTGGCCACATCGTGTCTTGTGGATGGTTGGGTTCAGAACCCGGCGGAAGAGACACCGAACACCCAGCTGTGGTGGTTCTGGCTCAAATAGGTGGTTGATAGCAGAGCAGGGGTTGCGTGAGCCAGCGCTGGCGCGGTTGCTTGAAGATCCTTTTGAGCCAAACCTAAATAAGTCTTGGTTAAACCATGAATTGAATTGGCCTTTCCTTCAGAAAAGCCAAAAAAAATGCCCATTTGCTTTTGAGCTTGACACTGTGACCAATGCTTCGCAAGGGGTTCGCAGCGTGGCATCTGGTTTCCACTAGATCGCCCGCGCTGACAATCTGCTGGTTTGTTCTGCTCCGATTCAATGGCCAAGCAAAGATCTTTGTGGTCTTTTATGAGGGAATAAGAAGGCGCTGAACAAACCAAACCTCTGGGAAGTCATTTTTCCGTCGGCCTCCAACGTCAGCTCTCATTCTTCATTGGATTCTTTGCCGGATAGATCCAGTAAGGGCGTGTAGACCGAGAACCATGCCTCCTCTGCTGACCAGGCCCACCTGGTCGGTTAGCACAAGACCAGGTCTGACCAAAAGAAGTGTCTTCAAAACCAAAGTGGCGCTCTTAGTTAGAGTGGTTGTCCTGAAACCCGTGGAGGTCTGTGGAAACCTTCCTCTTTTGCGAAGACAAGGGGCGCAGAAATCGGAGAAATAAATCGTTCTACTCACAAACCCATCAAAAGGAACTGGCAGGGATTCCCTGCCGCAAGTTAAACACTCACCACAGAGACCATTTCCCAGAGCTACAAAGTGGTGTCATTCAGTTGATTTTACTCCCACACAACATGGCGCAACCAACTGGTAGAGAACTCAACTTCAACCCCTTTTCATTAGCTTGCTATGTTGGTATTGTCATAAATCCTCCTGATCTCCTTTGTGACAAACAAGGTTTGTCGAAAATTGATATGTCTCCTTCTCAGAAGGAGACCTTTTGATTTCACAGAGAGTAAGGGCTGAAAGGGCTGAGGAAGGACATTTCGCTACCTCTTTCTCTACCAAAGGCGTTAATGCCGGTGACTAGCCAACACGGATTTACCGGTTCTGCAGCGCATGGAAAACACGTAGTGTCTGGTGCGCTTCCGTCACTTTTGAGCCAAATGTGAGGCTTTGGGGTCATTGCCTGGTAGGAGCCAATTCAGAAAAATTTGGGGCAAAAAAATGGCGACCTACAAAAACCGGCAAAACCCCGGTGAACCGTGACCCCCGACAGATCCCGGTTTCCCGGGAATTGGTGAAGCGACCAACGGATGGGTGATGCTCTGGCAGGTGGTGGCGAAACTGCCGAATTTCCCCAACATCCCAAGTAGGGCGATGAAGGGGCGAACACTTATGGCTCGAACAACGAAACAAACATGATCTCGAGATTTCGAGCAAGCACCGGTTAGAAGCTAGGTATCATCTTGCCAAACAACCTGCAGACTTTGACCTTCGGCAGGGACTTCAACCAGAGCTTGGAAGGCATCACCTTGCCAAACAGCCTGCAAATGTTGACCTTCGATCACTGCTTTGCAATCGCTTCATATCAAATTAAAACAAAACCTCCGCTTTGCAATCACTGCTGACCTATAAACCAAACGAGTGAAGGTCAAGGTTTCCAACCGATGGCGGATGACCATCCGTCAAACCGCACTGAAGGTGACCAGAATCAGCAAAAATTGGCGTATTATGGCGTACTCTTTCTCAGGGTTCCACCGCTTTTGGGGGGAGCGACTCCCCCATGTTGTTCCTTTCATTCGGTGCCAGGTTGCACATGCAAGATACTGATGAAGAAGCACTCAATACCTCAAAGCAACGCATGACATAATAAGCTGCGATGGGCGACGGGCATGCAATCTTTTTGAAAATGCACTTAGCTTAAAATTGTCGTTTGGAGAAAATAGTTTTAGGGTGAACAAGCTGCGCTATTTGTTGGAGCGTGGACCGTTTCCCCCAAACAGTGTGTCCACACTAGGGCTTCTTACGGTGATTAGCTGTTAAGGACGGGTGTCTGATTGAGGTGCTCTTCGGGACTGTGCTGCAGGAGATCGGAGTGGCAGGGCTGCGCGATGTGAATATTGATGTGCAGAAGTCGTGGCAGGCGCAGTGCCTTGTGGACCTTGACGTGCACATTTCGTGGCAGGCGCAGTGCCTTGTGGGCCTTGAAGTGCAGATTTCGTGGCAAGAGCAGCGCTTTGTGAGCCTTCAAGTGTAGATTTCGTGGCAGACTTAGTACTTTGTCGACCTTGAAGTGCAGATTCCATCTCCACCACTGCCATCACCATCACCACCATCAATCACCACCACTATCACCACCTTCATCACCATCACCATCACCACCGTCACCACCACCACCGCCGCCACCACCTATACCACCATCACCACCATCAACATCATCATCACCACCTTCATCACTAACATCAGCAACATCACCATCATCATTACCTCATCACCATCGTCACCACCACCATCACCATCATCTCCACCACCATCACCACCACCATCATCACCAGCGCCATCACCAACACCGTCATCACCACCATCAACATCATCATCACTACCATCATCACCACACCACCAACACCATCACCACCATCACCTCTCTCTGGAGCCCAGTGCGTCTAAATCCAGTGCGTCTAGATCTCTAGACCTTCTGCTTCTACACCTCTAGACCTTAGACCTTCAGACTGACTGTTTGTGGTCTCTTGTGGGGACAATTGTTGGAAAAACAAGAAACTGGTTAAACCATGCTTTTCAAAAATGGAAACCATGCGATGTCTGTTGGGTCCTGCTTGCGTGAAGGGTTGGGTGGCGCGCAAAAGCACGCGCAAGTGCACCCGCGCAAGTAGGCCATTTTTCTAAAGGGCCAATAGGGTGCATGTCCGCGGGTAAAGCCAATGGTGCCACTGACATCATTGGAATCCTTTGAGTCGAGTACTTCCCACTGGCACAGCATTGTGGAAGTGCAAAAAGAAAGACACGAAAAGACTCTAAAAGCACACACAGCCTATGTTACTAGTATTTTTGGGGGACACGTCAGATAGGCTTGTGGTCCGGACAAATCCCCTCAGAATCGATCGAAAACACGGCCGTTTTGGACCGCGACGAACCATTCCGTTGGCACGCAGGGACTCTGGCGACCTGTGTCCGTTTGAGACACAGAAAAGGATAGGATTCACTGAAATTCGGACCTGAGATGAATCATGAGCTTCTATTCAGGCCAAGATGGGAGCTTCTGCAGCAACCCGTTCTCTGTCAGGGCCATACATGTTCCGGTCTGAGAAGGGAAGAGGGTGCGCTCTAGCGCTCTAGTCAATCGAATTCTACTCAAAACAAACTAACCATTCAGTGACCTCTCTCTTGAAGAAAAGATACTGGAGCCCCGGCCAGGTACGTGTTGAACCCTTTAAAAAGGCACGCGTGAAAAAAGCCGTCACCCACTGCGGCGGTCCCAAAACGACCCAAAGGCGGCGGTCGGAGCCGAAGGGGCAGAGGAGCGAA